GACTCAGAGACATCCAAAGCCACATCGCTAGTGGCTCCCACCTCCACAATTGGGGACATAAATGTTTCCACATCAACTCCTAACTTGTCTGATAATAGGAAGATTCAGACAGAGCCCATTTCCTCCCTGACTTCTGTATTGAGCGAGATCAGCACCTTTGGGGAGACCAGCTCAGCCACAGAGACAGACACTGTCATTTCTGAACTGCCCCCCAGTGCTACTATGGAGGTCTCCAGAACAGAAGTCATCTCTAGCAGAACATTCATCTCGGACCCTGCTCAGCCCACAATGACACCAGACATCCCCACAGAAACCATCACTGGTATCTCTTCTCTCCCTATCCTAAGAGAATCTGAAGAAATGCTCATCAGCACCCAAACAGGTCATCCTGTGACTACAACACAAGATACCCTTTTATTGGACAGGTCAACCAAAACTTCCTGGGCAGGAACTCACTCAACTCAGACGGAGGGATTTACCCACTCAGAGATGACCACTCCTCTGAGCAGCGGTCCTGACAATGTGTCACGGACGAGCCCTCCCTCCTGGGGAGAAGCCAGCTCTGCCTCCACCCTGCTGTCTCTGCCTGCCACAACCGCAACTTCCCCTGTTTCATCCACCTTGCCAGCGAGTAGCCCTTCCTCTTCGCTTCCTGTGGCCTCACTGCTCACCTCTGCTCTGGTGAAAACCACAGACGTGTTAGGCACAAGCCCAGAATTAAAAGCCAGTTCACCTCCAAATTTGAGTAGCACTGCAGATACAGAAGCAGTGCGTCATTTCACAAACACAGCCGTGACCCATGTAGGAACCACCGGTTCTGGACATGAGTCACATTCCTCTGTCCTAGCTGACTCAGAGACATCCAAAGCCACATCGCTAGTGGCTCCCACCTCCACAATTGGGGACATAAATGTTTCCACATCAACTCCTAACTTGTCTGATAATAGGAAGATTCAGACAGAGCCCATTTCCTCCCTGACTTCTGTATTGAGCGAGATCAGCACCTTTGGGGAGACCAGCTCAGCCACAGAGACAGACACTGTCATTTCTGAACTGCCCCCCAGTGCTACTATGGAGGTCTCCAGAACAGAAGTCATCTCTAGCAGAACATTCATCTCGGACCCTGCTCAGCCCACAATGACACCAGACATCCCCAGAGAAACCATCACCAGGTCCTCTTCCTTCTCTCACATGACAGAATTGACAGAAATGACCTTCAACACACAAACAGGTCCCCCTGGGACTACATCACATGATACACACACTGTGGACACAACAACCACAGCATCTTTGTCAGGGACCCACTCAGCTGTGGCTCAGAGATTTTCACACTCAGAAGTGAACACTCTTATGAACAGGGATCCTGCTAATGTGTCATGGATGAGCTCTCCCTCTTTGGAAGAAACCCGCTCTCCCTCCTCCCTAGAACCCATTCTTGTCACAACCTCACTGTCTTCTGTCACTCCCACACTACAAGGGCCCAGTACTTCCTCCCCTGTGGACACATCAACCACAGTCTCCTGGTCAGAGACCCACCCAGCTGTGACTCAGAGATTTTCACACTCAGAAGTGACCACACTTATGAGTAGGGGTCCTGCGAATATGTCACGGACAAGCTCTCCCTCTGTGGAAGAACCCAGCTCTCCTGCTTCCCCAGGACCTATACTTGTCACAACCTCACCATCTCCCATTACTCCCACATTACAAGGACACAGTACCTCCGCCCCCATCTCTAGGACCTCAGTTCTCACCTCTGCACTGGCAAAAACCAAAGACATTTTCAATGCAAGCTTAGAACCTGTGGCCAGTTCACCTCCAACTTGGAGCAACACTTCCGATGAGATACTGGCCATTTCAGAAGCCACCACATATACAGAGACAATTTATCCTTCCGTAAACACAGTAGTGGCAAATGTGGAGACCATCAGCTCACCATATCAATCCTATTCTACTGTCACAGCTGATTCAGGGTCATCTGAAGCCACATCTACAATTACCAGCTCCACCATGGGAGACACCACAGTTTCCACGACAATGCCTAGATCCTCTGTGACTACAGGGATTGAGACTGAGGCAATGTCCTCCCTGAGCCCCGGACTGAGGGAGACCAGCACCTCCCAGGAGACCAGCTCATTCAGCAAGACAAGCACTATCCTTTCCAATGTGCCTGCTGATGCAACTGCTGGGGTCTCCAGGACAGACGTCATCTTCTCTAGCAGGCCATCTATCCCAGACCGTGCTCATTCCACAACGTCACCGGACATCTTCACAGGAACAATCACTGGGCTCTCTACTTTGCCTGCCATTACAGAATCTGAAGAAAGGACCATCACTAGCCAAACAGGTTCTACTGGGGCCACATTGCAGGGCACCCTTACCTTGGATACATCAACCACAACCTCCTGGGCAGGAACTCACTCAATTGTGACTCAGGGATTTCCACACTCGGAGATGACCACCCTTACAAGCAGCGGTCCTGAGAATGAGTCATGGACGAGCCCTCCCTCTGTGGAAGACACCAGCTCTGCCTCTTCCCTGCTCTCTTTACCCACAATAACCTCACCTTCCCCTGTTTTATCCACGTTACTAGAGGATAGCCCCTCCTCTGCTCTTCCTGTGACTTCACTGCTCACCACTGGTCTGGCGAAGACCACAGACATGTTTGGCACAAGCTCAGAACCTGTGCCCAGTTCACCTCCACGTTTAGGCAGCACCTCACATAAGATACTGGCCACTTCTAAAAATACCACAGATACACAGGAAATTTATCCTATAAACACAGAAGTGACTGGCGTGGAGACCACCAGTCCCAGACATGAATTACATTCCTCTTTCCCAGCTAAGTCACTGCCATCCAATGCTACATCTCCAGTGGTTACTGTCTCTACCATAGAGGCCACCGCTGTTCCCACATCAACGTTGGGTCCCTCTGAAACTACAAGGATTGAGATTCAGCCAACTTCCTCCCTAACCTCAGGGGTGAAGGAAACAAAGAGCTTCCGGGAGGCCAGCTCATCCACTGACACAAGCACTGTCCTTTTCAAAGTTCCCACTGGTCCTACAACTACTGAGGTCTCCAGCACAGGAGTCATCTCCTCTAGCAGAACATCTGTTGCTGGTGGCGCTCAGTCTGCAGTATCTTCAGATATCTCCACAGAAATGACCACCAGTCTCTCTACCTCCCGCATCATGAGAGAATCTACAGAAATGACCATCACCACTTCAACAGGTCCTCTTGCGGCCACCTCCAAGAGAACCCTTTTATCAGATACATCGACTGCAACCTCCAGGACAGGAACTCACTCAGCTATGACTCAGGGATTTACTCACTCAGAGGTGACCACTCTTATGAGCAGTGGCCCTGAGAGTGTGTCATGGGAGAGCCCTCCCTCTATGGAAGAAACCAGCTCTGCCTCTACCCTGCTTTCTCTACCTGCCACAACCTCAACTTCCCCTGTTTCATCCACCTCACCAGAGAGTAGCCCTTCCTCTTCACTTCCTGCGACTTCACTGCTCACCTCTGGTCTGATGAAAACCACAGACATGTTCGACACAAGCCCCGAACTAGAGGCCAGTTCAATTCCAGATTTAAGCAGCACTGCAGATACAGAAGTAGTGAGACCTTTCACGAACACAGCACTGACCCATGTAGGAATCACGAGTTCTGGACACGAATCACATTCCTCTGATCTAGCTGACTCAGAGACATCCAAAGCCACATCGCCAACGGCTGCCACCTCCACCACTGAGGACATAACTGTTTCCTCTTCAACTCCTGCCTTCTCTGAAACTAGGAAGATTCATACAAAACCCATTTCTTCCCTGACTTCTGGACTGAAGGAGACCATCACATCTGAGGAGACCAGCTCAGCCACAGAGACAGGCACTGTCATGTCTGAACTGCCCCCCAGTGCTACTACGGAGGTCTCCAGAACAGAAGTCATCTCCTCTAGGAGAACATTCATTCCAGACCCTGTTCAGGCCACAATGACACCAGACATCCCCACAGAAACCATCACCACGTTCTCTTCCTTCTCTGACGTGACAGAATTAACAAAAATGACCTTTAACACACAAACAGGTCCTCCTGGAACTAAATCACATAAAACCCTTTCCACGGATACCTCAAGCACACTCTCCTGGTCAG